TGGGCTTGGAGGTCTCTCTCTCTCCTCTCGTTCACCTCGTCTGTGTCCTTGAAGATTTTCATGTGCCCGCAGGGGCCTCCCCCGAGAGCCTGTCCTCAGGGTCCATGCTGGGAATCACACTGCCCTGCACTCCTGTGGGTCCCTGCCGACCTCATGAGCAGCTCCGAAGTGCCCCTTCCTGGAAATCTCCGTGAAGCCCCAGCGGAGACAGGCTTCTCTGGGCGGCGGGCTGGCCACGTTCACCTGTTCCCATTCCTGCCTCTCTGGGGCGGCTCAAAGACCCGTCCACTAATCCTTCCACACTGACCTCTTCCAAAGTCCCCTCTCACCGAGCCTGGGCTGGAATGTCCGGGTCACCTCCAGGGAATAGAAAGCAGTAGGAAGGGGCGCCTGGGTGGCTCAGTGGGTTAAAGCCTCTGCTTTCGGCTCAGGTCATGATCCCAGGGTCCTGGGATGGAGCCCCGCATCGGGCTCTCTGCTCAGTGGGGAGCCTGCTTCCTCCTCTCTCTCTGCTGCCTCTCTGCCTACTTGTGATCTCTGTCTGTCGAATGAATAAATAAAATCTTAAAAAAAAAAGAAGAAAGCAGTAGGAATGACCGCGTGTCACTTCCGAGACAGTCACCGAGGCATCGTGGCCACCCCCTGCCTCCCCATCTTTGATCCCCAGCTCTGGGGGGTATGTTGGGAGCCACATCGGGAGTCGTCCTGTGGAGAGGCCCAAGGGTTGAGGGCCAGCGACACCCGCCTCCGAAGGTGGGTGCATGCTCACTCCCCGCCTCCCTGGGGCCGTGTGGTCTGCAGCCATCCGTGGGGCATTACAGAGATCCCAGCGGAACATGGCAGGGCCGAGCCCCGAGAGGACGCTCTCGTCTCCTGTCCCGTTTTATAGATGGAGAAACCGTGACTCAGGGCAAGGTGGCTTGCTCCTGGTTACAGAGTGACTGGGTGAGAACCAGGGCTCTCCTGATCTTGGAGCCCCGTTTCCTGGAAATGCCAGGGCGGCTAGTCTCTAGAGCCAGCCTGGGTCCCCAAGCCCACTCGGGGGCTCCTGGCCCATGTCCGTTGCCTGGAAATCCCACTGCCCTTCCTCGACCTCTCCAAATCCTACCCCAAAGTATGTGAAAATGAAAGATCGGGTATCTTTGACTCGGCCATCTCCCTCCTAGAGTGTACCCCACAGAAACAAGGGAAGACCTCAAAGCAGGCCTGTGGGAGGACTTTCTGTTCTGAGCTGGAAACGAGCCAACTTCTATCAGTCATGAATTAAATCACTGCGGCGACACGTGGCACGCTGACGGCCTGCCAGGCTCGGCTCCCAAGGCTTTCCAGACGCTGACCCCTCAGGACTCCCATAGCTGGACAGCAGTGGGTGGTGGAATCCCCGCTTCACAGGTGAGGACCCTGAGGCCTAGGTTCCCGGGTCACACGTGAGGACAGGCAGGACCAGGGCCAAGCATGGGTCAGCCTCTGTCCCCGCCCCCTGGCCAACCCTCAGCCACACCGCAGGACATGCACAGTGGGGAAGTTCTCGGAGCCATGGTGGGCAAGGCGTCCCAGGCACGTCGGTAACAGAAAGAAGCAAACCACAAAATGACAGTGAAAAAGGAAATGTGTGGGGGCGCCTGGGGGGTTCAGTCAGTTGAGCATCTGACCTTGCTTTCGGCTCAGGTCGTGATCTCCGGACGGTGAGATCAAACCCAGTGCTGGGCTCTGGGCTGGCGTGGAGCCTGCTTGAGATTCTCTTTCTCTCTCTGCCCCTCCCCTCCCCAAACAAAGTAAAACAAAAAACAAAACAAAAAAACGACAAAAAAGATAATGTTTATGTGTGCCTGCCTTTGACTAGAAAGTAGGACCCAGACCTGAACTGCGAGGCGTTCGCTTTGTGTGCTCCCTCTCATCAGTCTGGATTTAAAAAAAAAAAAAAAATAGGGGCGTCTGCGTGGCTCAGTTGGTTAAACAGCTGCCTTCAGCTCGGGTCATGATCCCAGGGTCCTGGGACTGAGCCCTGCATCGGGCTCCCTGCTCAGTGGAGACCCTGCTTCTCCCTCTCCCTCTGCTGCTCTGCCTACTTGTACTCTCTATCTCTCCATCAAATAAATAAATAAAATCTTTTAAAATTTTTTAAAAAATAAAAAAAAAAATAACTTAGAGTTATAGTTTTTCTTATCAAATGTAAAAATTCATTTTGGAATGTGTCTGGCCCCTTGACAGGCAAGTCCCTGTGCCCAGTGGGGCCAGCGCCACCCCCTGTTCCCAGAGCCCTTTGCGGTGGCCCAGGCTGGGTCTTCCTATGCGATGTCTGCCTCCTCCTGGAAGACCAGCCCCGGGGGCGGGGGGGCCGCGCTCGGAGGGGTTCTGGTGTCGGCGGAGGAAGGCCTAAAGCCAGCCTTGGTGCTGATCAGTAAAGCCGCTCGTGGAGAGGAGCGGCCCTGGAAGGTTCCCTTGCACTCTGCCTTCTGCTCTCTGCCCAGCACCCAGAGAGGTAACGCTACGGGCCCAAGGCCACCCATCTGGGAGAGGCGGAACCTGGAGCCAAACCCAGGCTGGGGGTGCCCCGCCCGAGCTCTCCCCCAGACCATGCGGGCCTTTCCGCAGCCAGGACCCCTGCCTGCCCGGCCACCAACGGCCTCTTTGCCACCTCCTGTGTCAGCTCAAGCCAAGGACGGGCAGGTTTCCCCCGACTCTGGTCATTCATTTGTATTTCCCACCGTCAGTCCACTCACCCCCACCCCGCCACCCCATCCATTCATCTGTCCATCCTGCAATCCCTCTGTCTGTCTGTCCATCCCTCCATCTACCTATCCCTCCACCCACTCACCCCCCCCCAAGCATCATCTATCCACCCATTCATCCGCCCTTCTGTCCTCCCATCTGTCCATCCATCCATCTGTCCGCCCGTCCGTCCACTGGCTTGTTTCCCCCGCCAGCATGCCCCGTGCTGGGTGCTGTGGGCTCAGAGACGGGTCTGGCACGGCTCTCCCTGCCCAAAGCTCACAGCAGGCTGGGGAGCTGCCGCCCCAAAGGGCGAGGTGGCATGTTTTCCAGGTTGGCTGAGGAGAAGGGTGAAGTTTGGGCACGTTTGTCCGGGAGACAAAGGGCGGGTGATACTTGGCGGCAGTGACAGGGGAAAACACACTTGTCTCCTGTGTCACTGTCTTGGGCTACCCACCCCCCCACCCCCACTCACTCCTTGTCTCCTCCCTCCTCTGCCTCTGTCCTTGGAGCTCGCTGCTGTTTTCCGTCTCTGTGCTCTCCTCACCTCATCTCTTGGTGTCTGTCTCCCAAGAATGTAAGAGCCACGAGGCAGCGACTCCTGTCTTGCTGTGGTCTCAGAGTTGGGCTTTGAATGCCAACAGCCCGGGTGGGACGCCTGAGTGGCTGAGCTGGTGAGCCGTCGGCCTTCGGGTCAGGTCGTGATCCCAGGGTCCTGGGATCAAGTCCTGTATCGGGCTCCCTGCTCAGCCCGGAGTCTGCTTGTCCCTCTGCCTGCTGTGTTTGTGCTCTCTCTCTCTGTCAGTCTGATAGATAAATAAATAAAATCTGTGAATGCAAACAGCCTGGTTCCCAAGCGATGGTGAGGCTGGGCACCCGCACACAACTTGTGTGGATTCCATCCTGCCCTTTGCCCTCTGACATGGCCGCCGCCACTGCCAGCCTGTCCCCCCTTCACCCTGCAGTGGCCAGGCAGGCAGGGATGGGGCTGCCCATCCATCAGCACCCAGCCTGTTCAAGGCCGGCCTGCGTCCACCCGTCAGAACACAAGAAAACAGGCAGACACACAGTCCCTGACCCGAGGGCCACCCGGATGAGGCGGTCTGAACCCTGGATCCCTCCACTCTGGTCCCGCCAGCTTTCTGGCCAGCAGGACACTCACTCTTTGTGGCCCTGGGCACGTGCACAGTCTCCTTAAGCCCGAGGGCCCCTGCGGCCACCTTGCAGCGTTGCCGTATGGCTCATATGGGAGAATGTGCTGAGCCCCTGGGAGGGCCCACTGGGTGACGGCCATGGGGACAAAGCTCATGGGCATCAGGGCCTGGCCCTCGGCATCAGAGAGGGGCTGGTCATTCCAGAGTATCTGGTGATCACATCTGGCCCCGTCACCTGCATGGCCTTGGACAAATCCCCTTTCTGGGCCTCAGTGGTTCCATCTGTAAAATGGGGACCATCAGCCCCACCTCCCCTTCAGGAGCGCCCTGGCTTCGTGAGAGGCCCAGTCAGCAACGAGGCCGCTGGTCCCTAGCAGTGTGTCCCGCAGGGCTTGGGGCCCTCAGGGCTTGGTCAGTGCTGAATGCTGGGGACTGAGCAGAGGTAGATCTGGCGGGGCTGGGGGAATGGGAAACCAATGTGGGCACACACGGACAGCGTGGGGTCAGGGCAGTGTGAAGGGAGCGGGGCAGATGCCGGCTGGGACCCGTGTTTACTCGTGCTGGCTTCCCAGGCTCGCCCCCACTCCCTCCTGCCTGCCAAGACTCCTGAGGACGGCTGGTCCTCCTCGGGGCAGCCCCAGCTCCGATGGTGTCTGCTGAGTGAGTAGGATGGAGCTTCGAGAGCTGCTGGGGAGGCCCGAAGACCCCGTGAAGGCCTGAACTTGGGCTTGGAGGGACGGGGGCACCACAGCCCCATCCTCGGACCTCCCCGGAGGTGTCTGCACCTGGCCCCGGGGCCCAGCCCTGCAGGCAGTGTGGATAGTGAGCCTTGCCACCTCCGGCGGCCTCTCGCATACTTCCCTGACCCCTGGGTCCCCAGGGCACTGGGACAAGGGTCCTCTGGGGGGTGTGTGTGGGAGGGAGTCCAGCTGCCCAGTGCCTGGGTCTGGGCATTGACCCGCAGGGCCTCTGCCTTTGAGGCCACTGGTCAGCAGGCTCCCATCTCCTGTCCCTCCCCCAGCCCCGGCTATTTAAGACCGGCCAGCAGCTGGCGAGTTGGTCGAGGCCACCCCGGTGGTGGCAGACCGCTGTCAGGCAGGCAGACCCAGGGCCTTTCCCAGCACAGCGCTGTCAATGGATTTTGTGGCTGGAGCCATCGGAGGTAATGGACATGGAGGGGCTTGGTGGGGCGGGGGATCAGGAGGCGTGGGGAAGTGCTGGGCCTTGGCAGTAGACCCTCCCGTGGCAGTGGCAGTGGGGTGTCAGGGGCTCTGGAAGTGGTTGCTCCCTGGTGTGGGCCTCCCGTGCTAGGGGGCGGCACAGGGGGAGGTGAGTCTGCACAGCCCGGCCCTCTGAGCCTGCGGCCCTCAGGCGGGGATGGGGGTGCGCAGAGGGTGGTCTCCGCCCAGGCAGGGGGGGTTGGGAAGGGAGGTTCACAGCCATCAGTGTGGGGAGGAATGGCCCAGCTGTGGGAAGGAACTCGAGGAGGGGGGGGGGGTGGTGGTTGGTGGACAGTGAGGACAAACAGGCCTGGATCCGGAAGGGCGGGCGGGGGGGGGGGGGGGGGGGGGGGGAGAGGCCCTGCGGAGCCCTGGCCAAACCTGCCGGCTGGTTTGCGTGCTGTCCCCGCCTATTGGCCTCCCAAATTATTTTCTCTTCTGGGGAAATGGCTGGTTACAAAAGACAGATCCAGAGAGATAACAGCCCATTGGGAAACAGGTGGGGGACGGTCTTCCCCCACCCCCGACCCTCCGTCCTGCAGGCGGGAGCCTATTTTGGGCGAGGCATCCTTGGCCTTGCCCTGTCTTGTGAAACAGCAAGGGTGCTGGTCGATACTTCTGGGAATGGTGTGGGGTGTCCTCCTCCCTCAGGCGGGGAGGGCAGTGCTGACCCTGGACAGGCTGGAGCCCCGGGTCTCTGGTGACATTTCTGAGGTGTGACTATGTGCCGGGCCTAAGACCAGCTGCTTCCCTGCATGTTAGCCCCTAAGGAGGGGGCTCAGAGAAGGAAGGGGCTTGACTTGGCCAAGATCACAAAGCCAGGAAGGGCTCTCGAAGACCTGGGTCTTGTCCTTGTGGAGAACAGACATGGCATGCGTGGGACAGCAGCAAAACCACGTGATTGGGGCTGTGATCAACATGTTTTGTTTTGTTTTTATTTATGTGGCGCCTGGGTGGCTCAGTGGGTTAAAGCCTCTGCCTCCGGCTCAGGTCCTGATCCCAGGGTTCTGGGATCGAGCCCCGCATCGGGCTTTCTGCTTAACGGGAAGCGTGCTTCCTCCTCTCTCTCTGCCTGCCTCTCTGCCTACTTGTGACCTCTGTCTGTCAAATAAATAAATAAATCTTAAAAAAAAAAAGATTTTATTTATTATTTATTTGACAGACAGAGATCACAAGTAGGCAGAGAGAGGAGGAAGCAGGCTCCCTACTGAGCAGAGAGCCCGATGTGGGGCTCGATCCCAC